AAAAAAATTTCCTACTTTTTTAAATTTTAACTATACATTAAAAAAAAAAGAAATCATTATTCAAAATATTATTTCGACCAAATGACTACCATCAAACACAGGCTAACCAACTTTTTGATATATACTAAATTTTAAAATATGAAGTAATTTACAATAGCATAAACATGTAAAAATATGAATATGATTGGATTTTTATTATTTTTAATAGTTAATCGAGACAAAATTATTGCTATCAAGTATTTAATAAAACATGTCTCTATTTGGCCTCATTTTTTAAAATATATTTTTCTCCAACTTTAATTTTAACCACACGTTTTCTCTATAAAATAATTTTGCACTTAGAATCATAATTTTTTCTTACATTATAACTACTAATTCTCCATATATATATATATATATCTTTTTAAAAATATATTCTCAAAAATCTCTAACAAACACGGTTTTAATACATTTGAAAATTTTGATTTTTGTACTAGTTCAATATTGTATGAAAAGTGGAAACTGTTAACTACTGAATCTAAAAGTTTAAATTGTTGGAGGCTAATTGCATATCATTTAAATCAACAAGTCCCTCAAATATCAGGCAATTTTTTTTTCCCATCATATCCTAACACATGCACAATTTGGTGACAACAAGACTTTAACCGTGATCCTTCACTTGTTCCGTTATCATGTTGATTTCAATTTTAATTAATTCCCTAACCAACACCACAAGTTATTATCTCTAGTACGAAGACCGACCTGCATGAAATAATGCAAATATTCTTAATACCTAGTAAAAATAATTTTCACCTAATTAATAATGCAGTTCTTACTTTGATAGAGTATACTAAGTTTCAAAGGCTCCGTTAAAAAATATAGTTATTACGGAACCATCATAAGAGATAGAGAGTCAAATATAATAATTTGATGTGATAAATAACGATCATATTTTTTATTTTTGTGGTCAAAGAATGAAAATCAAATGGGGCTAAAAAAAGTGCTTTAGTAACTCTTGCATTTAAGACTTGACAGCTCTCACAAGTTGTCAAGCAATTCCGGCGAGTATGTCTCCAATTCCATATTCGAGGGAGTACATATTTCAAGTGTTCAATCGGTTAATTTTTGTTGTTAAATAAAAAATATTAATTATAATGCCAAATTTTGACCCTCCACCCACAGTTATTCCCGCTCATTTTGTAAATCGTTCAAATAAAAAATCCTCCATTAAGTGCGGGCCACTCCGCGGCTTGTCTATACAGCACCCTGCCTTCCTTCAGTGTCACTGAAGTCGCATTTGTTGAATAAGCGGTTTCACAAACACGTAGTCAACTGCAGTTTGTGTGTGAGGTTCTTTTTTTTTTTCGAAGGTCCTGCTTGACAGTCATTTTTATGAAACTCGTTTTTAGTCCTCGTTTGGATCCCATTTTTTGGAAATGAAAATGGGCGAAACAGTGTTTTTTCGAAAAATATGTGGTTGAAAAAGAAGGAAATTTTTTTGATTTACGTATAATATTATTTTATAAAAAATTGTATGGTTGAAAATGGGAAAGAGAAAAATTGACTCTAATAGAATTCAATTTAATGAGGGCCAAATAGGGGCTTAATTAGAAATTTTCACAATAAAATATTTTACAAATAAATACAAATAAAATCACTATTTCAGAACTTATTATTATTTTTT